AGAATCATAGAATCATGTTTAACCACTCTTTCAGTAAAGAAATTTTTCCTCATGTCCAATCTAAACCTCCCCTGGCGCAACTTGAGGCCATTTCCTCTCATCCTATCACTAGTTACTTGGGACTCCACCAGGGTTTTGTGTCCTCCTGTGGTTGTAAAGAAGGGATTCTGCCCTCAGTTGCAAAAAAAGAGGATTTAGTTGAAGTTTTCTGAGGGGAAACTGGTAATTGCTCTCACAGCTGGTAGAAGGGTGGGACCACCAATGCAGTCAGGGCTGTTGCTATCGTAGCCGTTTCCACAGGTGCATTCATGTCCCACTGACTGTAGTCAATCTGTTTTTCCTTGAAGTTTTGTGAAATGGTGTCTACTCCAGAGATGAGTCGCTGGGCTGGGCCGATCATTGATGTTCTCCTGGATTATGTGGGCAACGTGCAGCTCTGTTCCCGGCTCAAGGAGCATATTGACAGCTATGAGGACTGGGCTGTCATTAAAGAAAAAGCAGGTATGGTCACCCAGGAGAGAATCTGGCACAAATAGTCCCACTATTGGATTCAAAACTTCAGTTACCATCTCCTCTTAGTATTCATCCCTTAAACTTGATAGGATTTCCCTACTGAGACTGAATTACATTTTGGTCCAGGTATGAGGCACTAGAAATTGCGGGGGTGTCATTGACTCTGTGATGTTAAATGTACAGCAGCTGTGGATCTGACCCACTGGGAATGAGCATTGCTAGTGCAGGAAGACCCATTTGGCTGCACCTGGGGTGCAGTCAAATCAGGGCAGGCGGGCAGCGAGACCACCTCCACAGCAGCCCAGCAGGCACCAGTGGCCTTTAAAGCCTTTACTAATATTCTGCTCTCCTAAACATCCTTTCCCTCAGGATCCAAAGTCTTTCATAGACATTATCAAAACAAGTTTTCTGACACTAAGCTAAATTTGGTACATACTACACTTATTTTCAGTGGGAAGACTGAGTACTGTGAAGCAGCTTGTTTAAATCCCCCTAGAAAGCCCATTGCTAAGGCTGAGATGGGATACAGCACCCCATCCTCCAGCCCCTCTTCCTTCCCTGTGTCATGCCTCAGAACAAATAGCTGAGCTGCCACCAATGCCAGACACATCATCCCTCCATTTCAGAAAAGTCGCCTTTTTTCATTTCCCCTTCTCCCATTTTCCTCTTGCCACTGACCTGGCCAAGCTGAGCTGTCCCTCTCAAGTTCAAACCTGTTCTGCTCATGTTTCTGGTCTGCCTGTCTTTCAGAGCCCCCACGACCCCTTTCCCATCTTTGCCGCCTCAAGGTACGAAGCCTGGTTGGAAGAAACCGCATTAAACTTCTTGACACCTTGCCTCTCCCGCACAGACTGATTCGATACTTACAGCATGATTACACACAGTGACCCCATCACACACCGGACACGCAGCAGCTTCCCGGCATGGCACGCAGAGTCATCGACATAGCGAGGGCACACATCGTGCACGGTGGGAAGGAATTGCTGCTGGCTTGGTCAAGCGCCTTCCAATGACTAATTAAGAGAAATATGCTTCTGAAGCATGAGTGAGAAGAAAATGGAGGAGACGGAGAGCTAAACATAGGACTGTTGTTAGGTTTTCCAAGAGAAAACCTATGTGCTTTCCAAGAGAAAACGAATATGATTCACCTCAGAGCTTGGGCTCCAAAGAACAAGAAATGAAAGCCAACACTGGAAAACAAATAGTGCTGAAGCAAGTATCAGTGAGGAATTCAAAGGTATCCTGAGGCTGTGGTGGAGCTTCGCGTCCTTGCTGTGATCACAATTCAGAAATTGTCAAGAGTCAACATATTTGGGAAAAAAATTATATTTCCTTCACTGACTGAGATTTTTACTTTAGTTTCTAGTCTACTTTTTGGATTTCTGCTAAGTGTGCTTGTTGCTAATTTCTGATAACTTGACACCATCTTGCTAACACTTTTGCTTTCATTTTTTGGACCTTTCTTATTGTGTAGAGTACTTGATTTCTGAACATTCAAAGCTCAGAACTTTTTAATAGACTAAAATCCAGAAATGCTGATTCCTTTAAAATTCAAGGCAAAGTTTATTTAAAAATGATGTAAGAATTGTATTTGCACATAGTAAATACAGTTCATGTTGTATTACATTTGCAATAAGAAGTAGGTGAAATTCTGCTCGAGAGAATTTCCTAGACTGGGGTTTTGAAAGAAATTCTGAGCTCTTTTTTTTTTTTGTGTGTGTGTGTGTGTAAATTAGTAGTAGCTGCACTGTAACCAGTAGTTTTACTCTGTCATGAAGCTGGTGTCAGAACAGAAGAAAGCCCTAGATGAGCATGAACAGGAAGTGATGTGGAGGAGAGAAGCAAGGTACACAGGGAGAGAGGCAACACTACTAAACCAACTTTATCTGTTGCTCCACTAGAAGATCTTGCCCCTACAAAACCAGCCTCTCTTACCTCCTTGAACCTCTGTGGCTATAACAATACCATCACTGGAAGAAAAGAGAGATTACTTCAAAACTATGAAAGTCAGACTTTGAGATTTATGAAAACTAATACCCAGAATTAGGCTTCCAAATCCTTATTCAGGTGCCTCAACAATGCCAAGTTGCTTGCGCCAGGTGTAGTTCCACTTAAGCCAATAGGACCACATTTGGTGTCAGTTATTACTGAGGCAGAATAAAAGTCTTAGGATTTAGCCCTGAATTTCCTGACTTTGGAAGTTTGAAGTATCTATTAGCTCCCTTTGACACTGATGAAAGTTATTATCTCAGCTTCTTTGAAAATTAGGTCACCTATTTACAGCTCAGATCCACAACTGATTTATGGCAGCTTAACAAGTTACCATCTATCAGCTGAACTGCTATAATTGTCCGTGAAATTCTTTTATTGAAGTTTTTAACAAGTCACATTCCTTCACAGCTGGGGAGGTCGAGGAGCCCATGAACAGTTATTGGCAGTGACTACAGCTCAGTTGACAGGTGTGACTTGCTGAACTACTGATTTGATGAGTGCCCCATTCCTGACTAGGCACCTAAGTAAGGATGGAATAGCCTAAATTTGGAACTACATCTTTGCAGATCTTATGCTAGAAGCACACTCATTCTTACCTTAGGTGACAAAGGAGCTGTGCACCATGGTTTGTTTGGATTCCCCACCAGAGTCCTGACGGATCTGGTTTTGTTTGTTGGCCTGCATACCATCCATGGAATCAGATAGAAATGTAAGTAGGGAAAATGCATTGCACCAAGTTTTATTTGTGTGGAGTTTTATACCTTAACACAGGACTAAAAGTGTGTTGCACACATACAAGTTTGGGCACAGAAGTTCAGATTCTGTGATGGTTTTGTGTGAAATGTGTTCAGCACTTGTGGTACAGGATGTGAGCAGAAGAAGAATTGGTTACAGCTATGGGCGCTCGGTCCACAGCTGTCCCCTTCCCAAATGCAAAAGAAGTTGAAAAAACAACAGAGTTTCAATTCACACTGAACAGTGATCTTCTTGCAAAGCTTTAGAAGGTCAGGTGAGATTCCTCCACTGCTGAAATTTTGTCCAGTGAGACTTCCATTACTACCAGTTTAGGATCTACCCCCTTGTCTCCTGCAGCATGAATAGGAAATTGCTTCAGGTTGGAAAAATCTGGGTGGAGGGAAAGGGATGGGGAACAGGAAATCTTTAGACCAGTTTTACCAGTGAAGGCCCTGTATTGGTAAGCAATAGCTTGAGAGAGAGATAATCAGCTGTGGAGTTTGTGCACCTCTCACTTTCTGGGGCTGAGCAGTGAAGGTCTGGGTCTTACTCACATTGATATAAATCAGAAGAAAATTCCTTGAAATTAAATGAGTATAACAGAGTCGTAGAGAGTGATGGATACAGACACGGCTTGGTGGAGACCATTTACTTAAGCACTTGTTCGGTGTGCAATGACAGCCTGGGAGACCGCTGGCTGATAGAAGGATTCACAATCACCAACTGCACATATAACCACAGGGGTGGGATTTCATAAGCTATCCTAAACTGGGAATTTCCCCTGAGCCAACATTGTTACATACGCAGAAGTCTTGCGAGTTGCAATTTCTTTTTATGTCCTTGGAGAAGTTGAAACTGGGTTTGAGTGGAGCAAATATGGAAAGTCATTTTCTTCTTTCAACCAAGAGACCTTCATCTCTATTGGGAGACCCATGTCCTGGTTGCTCTCAGCCATCTGTCCTGAGCAGGAGAGTCACTGAGCTGGAGAGCACTGGTCTGACGGGAACGTACCGCAACTGCGGGAAGGATAAGGGCACACTGTGCACAGAAACTGAGGAGAGAAGAGTCTGTTACAGGGGGAATCTGGTAATTACAATGTTATTAAGTAATTTCTGCTTGATCCTTACAGCAAATCTTCACACACTCAGTTTACATTATTTGCACTGAAATGGAGCCCGCTACCTCTCCACTCCAGTCATCGACACAATATTTTGTGCGCAATACTGAATCTGCACAAATTCAATGTGTATTTAATGCATCTATCTAGAAGTAACTGTGAAAAGACAAATCCCCCAAAACCCAAACAAACCAGGCTTTATAAGCAGATCAGTAGTTCTAGTGCAAGGTAAAGTGGCTTGTTTTTACTGAGTGTGATAGACTCCTTCAGAGATTATGACTTTATGTGAAATGTTCTAGGAATATTTCATGACCAGATTACTGTACTTTTTTTTTACTGCAACATGTGCAATTCACTTGATGTTCTTGTGCACTTTTTTGATTTTTTTTAATTTCATTTTGTATGAAAGCTTTTTCATTTACCTCTCCCTTCCCATTATTTATAAAAGCTATTGTGGTTTTAACAGTTTAAAATTGCATTGTTCTAGTAAATAGCAGCTCTCAAATGTCATGTTTCCATCTTTCAAACAAAGGATGAATAAACAAGTAGATTCTGAAGGGCTATCAGCTGTCCTGAATAGCAATATTGAACAACCAAACATGGAAATAGCCAGGAGAAGTCTGAATCAATCCAAGCTTGAACAATTAATAATTTTGATGTTAATCTCAGGGGTGAGAAAACAGTAAGTATTGCTGAGGGGAGACAGAGTTGCTATTCTTTGCAAACATTTTGGAAAATCTCACACATCTCCATTCAGTGATTTCGAATACACTTAACAATCGTCTTCTGTTCATTTGTTTTTTACTTCATTGTTGCTCCAGTTCAGAGCCCCAGCAAGGGCCACCGCCTGCCCTGGGCTGGGGAGGGAAGTTCCATGTCACAAAGGATTTTAAGGATTTTAAAAAGTAACATCAGTTTAAATCCGAGGGTAAGTGCATAAATATCTAAAAAAATTTCTACAGAGGCTATCCACTTTGCCAAGTATTTTAATTTTGATAGAAATTTCTACAGAGGCTATCCACTTTGCCAAGTATTTTAATTTTGATAGAAATTCTGGTGCGATACACAGCACTTTCAAATTTCCCTTCTGAACTCAAGCAGGAACACTTGTCCACAGCGATCACTGTGGTTCATTCCACGACCTGCTCTGGTCACCCGGTTGGAAATCCAGACCGATGCCCAGGAGGCTGCTCTGCATTGACAGCACTGAGCCAGAGTTCAGCATCTGGCTTCATCTGGACTACAACTGTGACACAGAGCTATTGGTGTGAGAAAGCAACCCTATTTCCATGTAAAAAAATTCCTTGCCTACAGCTCTGCAAGTTAAGAGCCATAGTTCTCCTCCCATTAACTTAAATGGGGATACTGCCTCTGGTTTCTGTTGGAGTCTCCTCGTGGAGAGGGACAGAGTCTCCTCATGGATTTTTTTACCAAAAAGAAAAAGACATCTAAGTATATTCATATCTTCACTTCTGGATCAAGAATTAACCTGATGTCTTTAACCCTTAGATCAGCTCTTTACCACCTTGCACCTTGCATGCAGTTGCAGGTATGTGCTACTAAAGCCATTTCCTGCTCTCTCTTCTACGGGAGCAGTCTATACAGGCTCGATACATATATTAAGTGCTGGCAGCAGGGAGAAAGCAATGAAAGCCATCTCTGTTTCTACTTTTGGCCTGTTGGACTAACACACTACAGCCGTTGTTTCCATAAAAGTAAACATCAGTGGGATATACTGTGAGGTCTGGGGAAAGAATGAGCTGTTTTTAGCCCGAGAGTAGTTCATATCCTAACGAAAGTTGCAACCTGGTTATATAACACCAAGCCCCATCAGAAGAGCCAAAATAATACACTACAATTGCTTAAGATGATAATGTTTTCATGACTAACATGTGAACATGTGCTCGAAAGAAGTGTTGCCTGTTTTTCCCCTTATGGAGATACCAAGAGTCATAGGGAGCTACACTAGCCAGAGACCAAGCCAATTGAGGCCACTTTGTTTTGACTCCTGGGAGAAGTTCCCATTGCCTTCAGTGAGAGCAGGTTCAGGCCCTGGGAGATCACAGGTGTCCATCTTCTGGCCCTTTTCCCTGCCATAATACACTTCTCGACCTCAGTGATTTACTCCAGTATAACTGAATAGATACATAGGCCTGCAGTATTAAACCTTTCAGATCTCATGTTCTGTGCATTAGCACTGCTTTCTCCGTGGGTTTAAGACAAATCTAACTTAAAAAAATCCCCTATTAACTTTTCTAACACCAATTTGTTAAAATAATTGGGAAAATATTGGGCAAATCATTTGCAGTCAGGTCTTGTGATAGCATCTTAAAATCAGGGAAAATAAAAGATGTCTGTGAGCCAGAAATCAAGGCAGGCTATTCTATACACTTTTTTCTTCTATCTATTTTATGGGTTTGTATTCAACTAATTTTACAATTTCTCATTTGTTCTGTTGATGCAGAACAATTCTAGATGCGGAAATTCATCCTGCTTCTCTTTGCACCAGGTTAACACTAGCTAATTTCCCAGCCCCAGAAGAATTACTTTTGATTTACATCATTCTGAATAGGCAGAGATTTCAGCCCTCATATCTACCCACCAGTTGCAAATCAAACCTGTGTCTACCCAGTGGGTCAAAACTAAAGAGACTGCATTTGCGGAATCACCAAAATAAAATTACCTCCTTTCTTCCCTTCATTTTTTCTTTTAATTCTGTCAGTATTTACATACAAGAAGAGCTTAAATCAATTCACAGGCATGGATTCTACATTAAATACTGTCCTTCCAGTCTCTTGCATGCAAAAGGAAGTGACCTGAATATCTTGACTTCTCTGGAATTACTTTAAAGTACAAAAACTCTTTGAATGGATTTAATTCATTTCATTTCACTGCTGCTGCCGCAGGGCAACGCCGGAAAGATGTTCCCACATGGAGGAGGTCTCCTAGGTGTTACAAGTGTGGCTATGAATGGCCCACAGCCCCACTCGCCGCAGCTTAGACAATGCCCGTTGATGAAAGAGCCCTGGTTTGCCTCACGCTCCATGCCACCGGATTCGTAAGGCTTATTCCCAATTTACACCCGTGTAGTGAGAGGAGAGTGGAGCCCGAGTAGCTTCCCAACAGTTACTAATTCGCTCCAGCCCGCCCACAAGGAAGAGGGTGCGATCGCTGGCCTCCTTCCCCCCGCTGCTCCACGCTGCCAGCAGCTCGAGCCCAGTGCCTGACCAGGCGTCTCAATTCACTCTCAGGAGCTGTCATGTTCAGCGCGACTCTGATACCCGCCCCAGCTAAAGATAGCCAAAAACATTGAAAATCGGCGGGGGGACAGCGGGCTTGGTGGGGATGGGTTTCAAAACCACAGGTCTGTAGAGTTTTTGCCCCGTGCCGTCAGCCTCCTTGCAGAAGTGCGGCACCTCAGCCGGCAGCGCGGCCGCACTCTTCCTCCACAGCCCCAGCCCCGGGAAGGGTGACGGGGGCAGCGCGCCCGGGGGCTGGTACACCCCCGGCCCAGGACAGGGGAAAGGACAGCAGGTCCAGGTGCCCATCCGGCCCGAGAGGACCCCGGCAGGGTCCTTCTCCCCAGTGTGCGGGGCAGACTCAGGGGGGCTCTCTGGGCCGGCGGTGTCTGAGCTCCGTTTGCTTTTCTTGCCCTCGTAGGGAGGAGGGTCTCTGGAGGCCGGGAGCCCCTCGGGGCCAGCGGGA